AGACAAAGACTGACAAAGACAAAGACTGACAAAGACAAAGACAAGACAAGATCAAGACAAGACAAGATAAAGGCAAAAAGTTCAAAAAACTGTTTTCAACTAAGTCAGAAAACATTTTTTTTAAACTGATCAATTTTTTTTTGAAAAAATTATTTTGTTTTAACTAAATTGTCAGGGGCGTGTACAGGGGGGGTCCAGGGGGTCCGGACCCCCCCTTCTCGCGCAGAAAACGCATCTAAGGAGGTATAATTTCAAAATTTTCCTGGGGGAGGGCCCCCCAGACCCCCCCTTCGCGTGCTCCCAAGTTTGGGTTACGGTTACCCCCCCTCCTGGTACAAATCCTGTACACGCCCCTGATTGTATTGACATTGTAATCACAACTTGCTGCTATTTCATTGTGAAAAGGTCCAGAAAATTATGATCACGACCCACCCAGAAAAAATCCTGGATACACCCCTGCCCTGCTCGGGCGCGAAGCCACCAGGCGAGGGAGCCAAGCGACCGAGCGGGGGGAGGGTGTGGGAGGGGGGTGTCCACTGTTCACCCTCCCGCACGATGGAGATTTTGCAATTATTACACTAAAATGGAGCAACCCGAGGTGAAATTCTTGCAAATTTTCAAAAAAAATTCATTTTGCTTGGGGGGGGGAGCTCGGGTGGTATCACCTTGTTGAACATTCTAAACTCAAAATAATGACAGAGAACTGTAAAATTTCTGATCCATAGTAAAAACCGAGCATTTTATTTACAAAGATTATACAGACTTTACAAGTGTTATCAATAATAATAGTGAGAGCAAGAACAACAACAATAATAATAATAATGATGATGATGATGATGATGATGATGATGATGATGATGATAATAATAATAATAATAAGACGAGAATTGTACCAGTGGTGGTTGGAGCCCTTGGCTCTATAAAGAATGGTTTTGAGAAGAACCTCCCCGGCCACCACACTGCCCAAGAAGTGCAGAAAATCGCACTACTGGGAACAGCACACATCTTGCGAAAAATTCTGGATTGAATCCCTGTGTCCCAGAAGCCACCGGCTAATGCCGTGATCCACTTTACAAATAATAATAACAATAATAGAGAGCAAGCATTAGTAAGAGGCATCGAGTTTGTCAGCGAGATTCCCAAGTCGGCATCCGGAAAAATTCTGAGGCGACAGCTGCGCGCGAGAAACAAGAAGCTGTCGCGTTTGTGAAGCGGCCATGTTGTTTGTACGGAGGCATTGGGAAGGAAATTCTATTTCCACGATACAATTCGTAGAAGCTAACAATAAGGCGTAAAGTTATATAGAAGCGACCATGTTGTTTGTACGGAGGCATCGGGAAGGAAATTCTATTTCCACGATACAATTCGTAGAAGCTAACAATAAGGCGTAAAGTTATATGAGGTTTGCAAAGTAAACTAATTACGTTTTATACGTGCACTTGTCTGTAATTTTTCGGATGTAAAGGTATTATCGTCGACGAAAGTATAGTCTTTCACTTACACTGTATTGATATTTTATTGTTTCACTATAAGTTTAACTTAGTGCAGTAGTTTCATGCAGTATTCTTTTACTCTTACATTCACGTTAATTATGAAAATGCTAAAAAAATATTATTAAAATAGAATAGCTCAATTCTGTAAACACACTGGAAAATTAGTCATAGTTTATATGTCATCTAAAGTGGAAATTAAATCATCGGCTATGAGAAGTGCATTAATTTTTGCATAAAGGTAACAAAAAAGAAAGCCATATAGCTATAATATACGCAGGCTTATGTGAATGAGAAATCATCTCTCATTTATCTACTCCTAATATAACAAAAACCAGGCAGCTAGATGGTTATAATATAAGTGCTGTTTCGACGCCGTTGTAAAAAGTTTAACGTCTGTGATGCCATATGATGGCTGAAATGGATAGAAGTTACGGGTGTGTGCATGTGCGTGCGTTCGTACGCGCTGCGCTCGTACGTGCGTGTGTGTGAGCGCGTGTGTGTGCGTCCGTGCGCGCGTGTGTGCGTGCGTGTGTGTGCGCGTGTGTGTACGTGCCTGCGCGCTGCGCTCGTACGTGCGTGTCAGTGCGTGTGTGTGTGCGCGCATGTGTGTCCGCGTGTGTGCGTGTGTGTGCCCGCGTGCGCGCTGCGCTCGTACGTGCGTGTGTGTGAGCGCGTGGGTGCGTCCGTGTGCGCGTGTGTGTACACGCGTGTGCGTGCGCGCTGCGCGCGTACGTGCGTGTGTATGCGTTTGTGCTCGCGTGTGTGCGTGTGCGTGCGCTCGTACGTGCGTGTGTGCGCGTGTGTGTATCCGTGCGCGCGCGCCTGTGTGTGCGTGTGCGCGCGTGTGTGCGTGCGTGCGTGCGTGTGCGCGTGTGTGTGCGCGCGCGTGTGTGTGTGTGCGCGCGTGTGCGAGCATCCGTGTTGTCTACAGTGGATACTAAATGCGCGTGTGATGTGTTTTAGAACCGCTTAGTCATGCAAAGAAGCCGCTTGGTCACATGACGTTCTCACGTGACCGCTGAAGCTGTGAATTTGTGTGTGTTTACGCTGGCGTGGCATTCCTCGAGCAGCCACTATCTGACAATGTTGTCTGTATACTGTTGTGCGCATACACTCATTGATCACTTCTATATACAAACAATCTTTTTAATGACATTATCCCAGGAATACTGCTACACGAAGTGTCTGACCACTTACCTATATTCATACTGATCAAAGCAGTAAACTATAAGCAGGCTAACAAAAAGGTATGGATTAGAAACTTATATTAATATTAATTATTAATAATCATATATTAATATTTTAAACTTAATATTATATATGATCATGTTTTGTAATGTCTTATGTCGTATATTGTTATATCATGGCATGTATTGTAACGTAATATATCGTCATGTATCAGGGGCGCGCACGGTTTCAAAGTGGGGGGGGGCCGATTGGAGAATGAAGCGACGATCCGGG